ATTAATTCCGCCCCCCTCAAAATACTCCTCCTTTCTTTAAATATACTTATTCCATCACTCTTGTCACTTTCTGAAGCAGTTCTGGAAGTCCTCTTTTGGGAGTATCTTTACAAGGTGTGATCAAAACTACAATGAATGCTGGTGGCTAGTGCCATTCAAAGAAAGGTGGGCTCATAAAAATATTAGTGTGTCATCATCCACATTATTAAATGGATCTTGGTACTCTGAAACTTCTGACCCTTCCCTAAAGTCAAAATAACTGTGAAAGGCAAATGATTTGGGTCAATCTAGGACATCAAGACAGCCATGACACTGCAACCAAAGGCACCTAGGAAAAAGGACTTCCAGAACTGCTTCAGAAAGCGAGGAGGAAGTATTTTGAATAGGACTGTCTTTTACTGTAATACATTTAAAAAATTTAAATATTCATTGTAGCATTAAAGCATACCTACTATACTTTAAATCTTATAGTATATTATTCATGTATTAATATAAAATAAATGTTAACCACCAATAACTACATATTTATATGATTATGTATCAATAATGATATATATTAATATTATGTATTAACATTAATTTCTATTTATTTTGGACTTAGCTACAATAAGCCTTTTCACTGCTCTCCATTTCTTCCTATACCTCTGAGCATCCATTTGGGATCATTTTTCTACTCCTGAAGAAATTCCATTTAATATTTTCTTGACTGGATCTGCTGGTGATAAATTTTCCTACTTTTTTTGGTCTGAAAATAGCTTGATCTCACCCTCATTCTTCAAGGTTATTTTCAATGAGCATACAATCCTAGGTAGTAATTATTTTCTTTTAGGGCTTGGAAAATATTATTCCATTAACCTCTGGTTTCCCTAGCTTGTGATGAACTCAGATGTCCCTCTCTGCTGTTCCTCTGAAGGTTATCTGTTCTCTCCTCTTCCCAGGCTGGGGAGGAGGTGAAGAGGGAGGGAGAGAGAGAGAGAGTCAGAGACAGAAACAGAGTAACAGACAGAGACAGAGAGACAGACAGAGGAATAGAGAGGGAGAGAGAGAGAGACAGAGACAGAGAGACTTCCTCTGCCTTTTTGTTCCATTTAGGCCTCTGTACATTGGCTAGTGCCTACCCACACTGGTAAGGGAAGATCCTTTTTGTTGTCTATGGATCCAACCACTTACCTGCTCATCTCTTCTGGAAACAACCTCACAGTCACATCCAAGAAATAGCTAGCTAAAAGGGCATCCCTTAGTCAAGTCAAGTTGACATATAAAATTATCCATCACAAGTAGTATCAGTTCTCTCTTCTGATTGTGCATCTCTCCTTCATTTTCTCTTCTCTATCTTTCTGGGATGACAATTAGATCCATGCCAGACCTTTTATCTGAATCCCTAGGATTCATTCTTCCACCTTATCTTTTCCATTCTCCATTCTGACTTTCTTCTGACCAACCTTTCCGTTCACTAATTCTTCCTATCTGTGTTTAATATTAATTTGATAATTTTAAAAAATAGTTTAGTTTCTTTGCCAATTTTTTTTATGTTGACCCACTTCCCTGACCATATTTGTCTGGATCACCAGTGGCTTTCTTTCTGTTGTCTGTTTCTCTGGCTTTGTGACCACGTTATCTTGGTACATTTGGTTTTCTCAAGTTATAGAAAAACTGCAAAAATAGTACAAAGAACTCACCTGCTGCTCCTGCTGATTGTTGCAGGAGACATGCAGGCTCAACACTAACAAATCCAATTTATCTTGAAAATTTTGAATCCAGACTTCCTAAAATGTTGACCACTATATTAGTTAGAGTTCAATAGAGGAAGAGCTTCAATAGAAACTATATGTATAATAGTATGAGGGGATTTATTAGGTAGGCTTGAAGAGTCAGAGGCAGAAAAGTCCACAGTGGCTGTCTGTTGGATCAGGAGTGGGAGAATCCACTGTGGCCATTTGTGTACTAGAGAGCTGGAGGATCCAGCAGTTGCTCAGCCTAAGAAGATGGAAGCCACAGTGCAGGAGGGATCAAGGATGAAGCACCAGTCTAAGGTCAAAGGCCTGGAAGGTCACTAGAAACCAATGTCCAAAGGCAAAAGCAGCAAAGGATGCACCCCTCAAGACTGGTGCTCTTCAAAACAGACACATTTCCTTCTTTTCTTCCATCCAGGCTACCTGTGAGGCTACTGGTTAGTGTCACTCACATGGCATTTAAACAAAGAGGATGGGTCTTCTTTCAGTTTGCTGGCCCATATGACAATCATCTACAGACACACTCAGAATTGTGCTTTACTAATCTGCCAAGCATTTCTTACTTCAGTCAAGTTGACATATTACAATAGTCACAGCCACTAACCTGAAAACATGAACACAGATAGCGTAGGATGAGGGGATCTATGTAGGACAGAGAGCTCAAGAATAGGCTCAGGTCTGTGGAAACTGAATGGATAACAATAATGGTGCTACAGTGGGGACATAATGGGTGTGGTGCCTCCTTCAGTTTGGGCTGCAATAACAAAGTGCCATAGGCTGCTTTGTTTAAGCAAAAGCAATGAATTTATCGTCGTTCTGGAAGTCTGAGAAGCCTGAGGGTGTCACCAGGGCCTGGTTCTGCTGAGGGTGTTCTTCCCAAATGTAGGCTGCCAGCTTCTTGCTGTGTCTTCACGTGGTAAAAAGAGAGCAGGAGAAATTTCTGGCATCCTCATTGGAAGAACACTGATCCCACTTACTAAGGCTGTACCCTCAAGACCCCATTTCCTAATAGCATCAGAGTGGGATGTTAGGATTTCAATGTACAAAATGTCTTTGGGGAGAGTGCTCATCCACTCAGTCTATTGCATAGGGCAAAGAAGGTTTTGGGAAAAGTAGTTCACAATATTGAGGGGATAAAAGCTGTCTGCTACATAGATACAAAGGTAGGCTCCACATATCTGCATGATAGGTAAAACTATAAAGGAGTCTGACTGTGATCTAGTAGAGAAGGATTATTTAAGCGAGACCTGCGAATCAGTCTAGAAGTCAAAAGCACCCCAGATCTGACCACTCTGATATTAAATGTTTCTAGTCAAGAAAAGACACCATAAATGAACAAAGTTATCAGTCAGATGACCACCTGAGAGGAGACACTGGCAAAACCCACATGAGTAAGTGGCTAATATCTAGCAAAGTCAAGGGACTCCTATAAATCCATAAGCCAGGAAATAGGAAAATGACTGCAAAAATGGGACAAGGTTATGAAGAGGAACTCTCCCAAGAAGGTCAATTTTTTTTTTTTTTGAGACAGGGTCTTACTTTGTAGTTCAGGCTGGTCTTGAACTCACTCTGTATCCCAGGCTGGCCTCAAACTTGTGGTGATCCTTCTGCCTCAGCCTCCCAAGTGCCAGGGTTACAGGCGTGCACCATCACACCCAGCACTAGGTCAGCTTTAAAAGAGCTCAACTTTCTAATAATCATGGAAAGGTAAATCAAAGGAACAAGCTATAATGAGCTGCATCTATTAGATTTTTGCCAACAGTTATTAACCAAGATGTTGAAAAGTGGGAGTATTAATACTGGGTGCATTATTAGTAACAATATCATGTGCAGCACTATTGAAAGTATAACCCAGCACAGCCACTCTGGGGTAGTACCTGGAAGCATTTGATGAACTCAGATTTGCGTTTATCTTGGAGTGTGTTCATGCTGCTCCAGAGTACATAAGCAGGGAAGTCCTCGTGCTGGCCCACCCTCTAGGTTCATGATGTTCATCCTGGTATAATCATTCTGAGTGCCTCTGTTCCTTCTCAGTGCCTGATGACCTGGAGCTTGGGTAGCAGCATTACAGTGTTGTTTATAGCAGCAGGGCCTGGCAGCAGGTGCCTGGTGCTATGGGAGCAGACGAAGTCAAGTGTGGTGAATTTACTACATGAGTCACCATGGAGTGGTGAGCAGCAGGGTGCTGGGTGTACAAAGAAGGGAGGAAAACATGGTTTGCTAAACAAAAGACACCTGCAGGTTGAACTAGCACATAAGGTTACCTTGGATTTTTAAAGGTGGCTTAGCAGTGGCATAGTGGCCCATTTCTGGGAATCACTGTAGCTACGACCACCAGAAAGCTGGTTCATTTCCCCTTCTTCGTGGGCTTTTGCAGTTAGCAAGAGTCTGGTCTTTGCCTGGCCTCAGCCTTTGATCATTTCAGAGCCACTGTCAGAGAGAGTGGACTCTGATGTTCTATAATTCCATAACTTGGAGAAAAGCCTCTTCCACCCTAAGAAAAGGTTTGCTAAATCATCACTTTAAGCCACACACATGAAGTCAGACTTCACTGGAACTCTTGGAAGTATTTCAAAGCTTCTCTGGCTTGGCTTATCCATCCCAGGTAACCCTTAAAATATCACTGAGCTGTGTATCTGTGCTGGTCAAGTGGTTCTATGGGAACAGCTTGTTTGGGAGGTTTGGGGACCAAATCAGTTGGCATCTTACCTTTGGGACCTTAAATCTAGAATAGGCAAATGGCTTCAAACCAAACTTTCTGAGACAAGCAGGCACAGGTGCTTTGATTGCTGTAGGTGTGTTTTCCTGCTCTGGCTCGTGACACCTGCGGTTCCACCTAAGGAGCTGATGGCCAGCGTCCTGCGAGTGTTGAGGCCAAATCCACAGAGATATCACTCAAATGTTCGTGGGAGGAGGGGTGGTGTCTAGCAAGTCAGCACCTTTGTGTTCGGCAGATAGGAAAGCAAAATAAAGGCACCCCCCCCCAAAGCAGCTGTTGTGATCATGAAAACGGTACCCCCCCCCCCGAGAGAAACTGCCCCTTCCTTTCTGAGCAGGGACAGACATGATTCTACACACAGCGCAGGGTGTGGATGGCCAAGAGAAGCACCTGTGCGTCTCTGTCGCTCCAGGGTCACCGGGGATGTGTGTCGTCTTTCTTCTCTCCTCGTCTTGATCGTTGGACTTTATTGCCAGCCTCCTGGTCTCCTGTGCTTGGCACTCCTTGGCTGTGGGCATGAAGCGGTTACACCAGCCCAGGAGCCTGCTGGGTTGAGTTAGCCCTTCCTTCTGCATCCAGGATCTCTCCAAGTAACGGCTTTGCATCATGGAAAAGGGGTGGCGGCGTGGGCTGGGGCGCCCGCTGCAGTAGGGCACAGCAGGGGCCCTCTCTCCTCCTCTCATTGGGCTCCTCACTGCTCTGCAAGGAGCAGGGAGCAAGCGGACGAAGGAAGCAAGCGGACGAAGGCATCCGCAGGAGTGAAGGATGAGTCAGGGCCGCCGGGGGCAGCCAAACTGCAGAGCGACCGAGCCACACGCGCCTTGCGCGCTCTCCCCTGGCTGCAGCTGTCGCCTCGGAAGCGCTGGACTCTGGGCCGCGGCTCTCAAAGCGGACCGAGGAGCCCAGCACAGGCGCTGCGGGGGAGCGGGGCGGCGCCGGCGAGGCCAGTTCCCGGGGGAGCCCGAGGAGCCTCTTGCCCTGCCCTCCTCCCGGGGAAGGAGACTCGGCGGAGCCTGGGTAGGCTGTGCCTGCAGCTGGCGCGGGGACGCGGCTGGGCTGGAGCTCTCTCGCGGGTGCCAGGGGAGCCGGGCTGAGCAGCGACCCGGGGCTCTACCTCTCCCACGGCCTCAGGGGAGGCAGGCGCAAGTCCCAGCCACCCTTCCTGGACAAGAGAAATCAACTCTGTGAGGGAAACTTAGATCTGTCTTTTACATCCAACTCCTGCAGCTGCGCCAGACTTGCAGAGCGCCTTAGGGGTCCATTTTTCGCCTGGCTGGTGTTTGAGAAAAACTGCAAGGAAAGGGGGGCAAGAGGAAGAAACACTGTAAACTTTGGGGACGGGAACATTTTCTTGGAGGTGACAAGTACCCTCAAATCTACAGTTCCTGGGTCAGAGACAAAGTCCTCTGATTAGACACTCTGAGGTCTGGACACTGCTACACAACCAAAGACCCCAAAAGACCATGGAATCCACGCTGGCAGCATCCGGTTCTGCCCCAGGCCCAGTCACCTTCTCCCACGTCTTTGGTCAGCAGTGCCAGCTCATGGAAGCAGGTAGGACTCGAATGGTGTGTGAGGTACCCAGAGGGAGGTGTGTGTGTGTGTGTGTGTGTGTGTGTGTGTGTGTGTGCGCCTCCTTGCTCTCCTGAGGAAGCTGGGAATATGAGGCTTGACTAGCCAGTGACATGACTGCCTGGCGTTTGTCATCCTTTTTTTTTTTAGTTCTTTTATTGGTACATTTTAGGTATGCAATTCGTTTATATTTATCATTGGGTGCTTGTACCTGTACATGATATATCTTGGTTCTTATTTTTTTTCCCCATTACCTGTGCGCCCTTCACCCCCTCTGACCTTCCCTATTTACATAGACATCATTTCCATTTTTTTCCTTTCTCATAGTTTTTCCTTTCCCTCTTTTCTTTTCCCCTTCCCCTCCCTTCACTCCTTCATCTTTGGACCTTTTTTTCGTTTATCACCTTAAACATTCAAGTTTTTAGGACTAGCCATGAGACTGAATGGGCCATGGAGCACAATTCGGAGGCTCCCCGTTTATCTTTTGTGATCTGTTTTCTTTCTGGCTCTCTGGGATTCTGTGACGGGTGACCGTGGCCATCTGTGGGGTGCAGGCAGGGTCCTAGAGTAGTTGTCTTGCTGTCAGCAGACCTCTTTCTGCCCCCCAGTGGTGTGGAAGCTGTGCCTGGCCAGGTGGTGTTGGACTAACTTAGCTGCTCAGGATAGGGGGATCCCACTGGAGCCCTTGCTCCTGTTTGTCTTCCAAATGGCTCCTGTTTTATACCCCAGAGGAGAATGGGCATGGCCTGTAACCCTCCCCCAGGCCAGCCGTCTTGCTGGGATGTGTTTGGTCACAAAGCTGCCAGGTGAGGGCTGATGGCACTGTCACTGAGATGGAGCCCACAAAGCATGCGTGGTGCATGCCTTTGACTTCGTGGGAGCCAGATAAGAGCCAGTTATTCCCTTGCTTTTTTGGAGTTTTTTGCTTTCTGTTGGGAGGAGCAGCACACATCCTCTGATGGTTTCCTGGGACTTTGAAGTGTTTGTCATGTTTTTTGCCTTGAGCCTCAGGAAGATGGTGTAAAGAGCACTGTAGTAGGAGTCTGGAGCCTGAGTCAGTGGGTATGCCTTTATTAGTGGACACAGGACCTCTTCCCTGGTGCATCATCTTCCAGCTACAAAACAAGACAACTGGACTCAGGGCTGCCTGATCTACCCTCATCTTAGGACAGCTCAGTGGAGAGTACAAACTGGAGCTGGGTCCGAAGACGGGGTGCATTGGCCCAGACAGGCAGTTTGTGGCATGGGTGAGTGGAGGTTCAGAACTGGATGGCCTGAGCTTGAGTTCTAGCTTGTTATAAGCTGTGAGACCTCAGGCAAGTTACTTAGCCTGTCCGTGCCTTGGTTTCCTCATCGATACGGTGGAGCTGTAAGGCACTCCTGCATAAGGCCACTGCCAAGGCGAAATAAGATAGCATGGAAAACATCCTTCTGTGGGCTACTTGGGGTGCCTGGGTCTTCAGAGAGAAGCACAGCCACCTTTGCAAGTGAAGATGGAAATAAAAGGGCCCCTCCTGCACCTCCACTTTGATTCTGGTTTGTCTGCCAGGCTCTGCCTGTCCTGTGCTGCCTTCTCCGAAAAGACTTAGGCTTTCTTGGACTGGGTTTCAGGGCCCCTCACTGCTCTGAGGCTACAGTGGGAGGTGCTTGGATTTCTAAAATGCCTCCCCTCTGGCCTCATCTTCTTTCATTTGGAAGCAACCAGGCCTAAATTAGGCCACAATACCCTCCATCTCCTTTAAAAAAATCCTTTATGGCTGGCAGGAGAGCAATGCAAATGTGCAGAACAGTGACCAGTGGTCCCCAGGAGACCACTGTCCCTGAAGGAATGAAAAGAAGAATAATTAACCTCTAAGTCAAAAGAGTGCACTTGACGAGGAGGCGGAAGGGACTGAGGCCAAACACTGGGAGTCTCTAGTCAGCCATTTGGAGTTTTGTTAGTATTGCAAATGAGATCTTAAATGGGTGTGCAAACAGTTTGCAGGCTCCCGGCCCGGCAGCTAGGTTAACCAAGCCTGTTCTCCTGGGAGGTGAGATGGAGCTGTTGGTCCCACATATTCATAGGGCACCACTGTGGACCCTGCATGGTGCCAGGGACAACAGGAGCTGCAGAGTTCGGTGTGGCCTTGACTCAAGGGGATGATGATGTAGTTGGTGATGAACATAAACCATACTGGGGAAATTAGGCACAATGTGACTCTGCAATGATGCTGTTTCTGAACAAGTCTTCCTCTATGTCATGGAAAGCATGTGGAATTCTTTCTCCCTGAGCCTGAGCTCAGCTGGTGCTGGTTGTGTAAGCTGCATAAACTCTAAAGGCATAGATCGCAGATCAGGGACCCTATAGTCCTAGGGCCAAATTCGGCCCACCACTTGGTTTTGTAAATAGTTTTATTGGCGTATTGCTATCCCTATTCACATGTATTTTGTCCATGACTGCTTTCATGCTATGACGCTAGCATGACTAGCTGTGACCAAGACCATGTGATTCATAGAGCTAAATATGTTTAATATCTGGCTGTTGGCAATCTTTTCAGGTCCTGCCCAGACCAACATGCATGGTACAAAGTGGAGCAGACAGGATTCTAGTGGGACAGTGCACAAGGTCTCAGGCCTGAGAGATTGTTTCCATCTCATGCTTACTTGGTGGTACCTTTGGTGCTGCCCCGAGCCTTGATCTCTCTCACGTCCTCCCTTGCTATTCCCACAGTACCTCACATGTGTACCAGGAAGCCCTTGAGTGAATCTGAGTGTCTTAACAAGCATGGCCATGTGCCCAGATCTGTGGCTCCTAAGCCAGACCAGATCCTGTTTGCTTCCTTTCCATGGCCTCCTGCAGGCAGGGCTGCAGTTCCTATTTAACAGGTGAGGCTTTGATGTTGGCAGGGCTGGGATTTAAACTTTAGTCAGACCAACCTCAAAGCCTGTACTCAAAAAAGGCCATCTCACACCTTCCACAACTGTTTTTTTTTTTTTTTTTTATT